GAAGAGTTGGTAAAGATAGCAGTTGATTGTTACACAAAAATTATTCGTATCAAGAAAGATGATTGTTTTGATACAAAGGAAGACTTGAAGATAGCTTTGTATACGAAATGTGTGGAAGATGGCTATCAACTAAAAGTTAACAAATCAAGCAAAAATCGTTTCGAAACAAGGTGTATGATTGACAAAAACTGTATGTGGCGTATGATTGCAAAGAGGATAAAAGATTGCGAAATGTTTCAAGTTATGACTTTTATTGATAAACATACATGTTCAAGAACCCACGTTTTTTCTCACCATAGACAGGCAAACAAAAAGGTGTTGGTGGTTTTCTGGTTGAGTTAATGTTATTGAATGATAGGGTATATCGGGGACATGAAATTATGACTGACATGAATGCTCGGTTCAAGATTAGTATCTCATATTCTCAATCTTGGAGAGCCAAATGTTATGCCTTGAATTGTTGAGGGGGTCGCCAGAAGCATCGTTTGCCCAACTGCCGGCTTATTGTCATAATTTAAAGCTGAAAAATCCTGGGTCGGTAACTCATATCAAAACAGATAGAGATGGATACTTTGACTTGCTGTTTATCGCCATTGGTGTTGCGGTTAGTAAATCAATATAATTTTGTTGACTCATTTTTGTTAGTTACATACATTTCACATTTAAATGATTATATTTCTTGTGTATATGATTTTGTAGATTTGTTCGTTTATTAATTGCATGTGCCCAGTTATTATAGTTGACGGAGCACATTTAAAAGGTCGATACCTTGGAGTAAACTTATTAGCAGTAGCCATGGATGCTAATAATGGGATACTGCCAATAGCTTACGTGGTTGGCAAATCTGAAACCTCTGATTCATGGATATGGTTTATGGGGCATCTTAGGGATTGCATAGGTCCTATTAGCAATCTGACAATCATATCCGATAGGGCAAACTCAATTGACAGCGCTGTTAGAAGGTGTTTCCCATATGCTTTTCATGGACTTTGTGGTGTTCATTTGTATAGAAATCTAAAATCAAGGTTTGCTGGTATAAAAAATCACAAATGGACATACTGGAAGGCTGTAAAAGCTTATCGGGAAATGGATTTTAATAAGCATATAAACTGTTTAAGACGTGTTTTGCCTCAGTGTGCTCATATACTAGAAGATGTCGGGTTTGAAAGATGGTCAAGAGTACATCAACTTGGAGCAAGATATGGTTTCATGACGTCTAATAGTGCAGAATCAATCAACGCTCTAAGTCGTCATTCCCGGAAATTACCCATTACTATGTTAATGGAGTTTTTTCGAGCCTCTATTCAACAGTGGTACTACAAGAAAAGAAACCATGCAGGTATTATTTCTTTAAATTCATAACTTATTATATATTTTACTAAGTATTATTTATTTAAATTTACAGGAACATTGGAACGTCGTGTTACACCATGGACAGAAAAAAAGATAACGAAACGTGTTGTGAAGTCAACGTCATGGAGAGTTGAACCATGTTCAAACACTTTGTTTGAAGTACTGGATAATAACTTAAATGGGCTTGTCGATCTAAATGCAAAGACGTGTAGTTGTATGAAATGGCAAACATCTGGTTATCCGTATGGCCATGTTATAAAAGTTTCTCTTCATCTAAACCAAGATGATTCAAGTGCATACGCTATGGATTGCTACACTACAGAAGTATATCGACAGACTTATGGCGAGATTGTCTACCCTATTCCACATCCTTCTGAGTGGGACATACCAGATGACTTACAAACAGTTTTGCCACCAGCCATGGACAGAAGGCTACCTGGCCGACCAAAAAGTCACGATCGTATACCGTCTAAGGGTGAAGAGAAGAAGAGATCGACATGTAGTCGGTGCAAGGAAAGTGGTCATACAAGGTTGACATGTGGATCACCAGTGCCATCACAATCATCTTTTCCTCTACCAAAATATGGATCCTCATAAAAACCCAAAGCTCATATGGTGTCAAGCAAAAGGCAATCAAAATCGCAATCATCTTTAAAATCCCAATCACAACCAGCTTCACCTTTTGGGACTGTTAACTTAGGTGATTTTTAAATGCAAACGTTGTATTATGTGGATTTTATGTGTGAACTTTTAACATTTTCAGTTAGACATGTATTTGTAACTTGAGTTTGAAAATTGCTATGATCTGTTCAGTTGTTATCACTTATTAGGCATTCATTTGACTATCGCAACACGGAAATGACGTTCGCAATCATCTTAATGTCTATCGCAACGCGGAAATTACTATCGCAACGAGAGAATCGCAATGCGAAATGAAAATCGCAACGTGAAAATCGCAACACGAATATGAATATCGCAACGCGGAAATGACTATCGCAATGCGAAATGAAAATCGCAACGCGAATTTAGTTTCACGTTGCAATTTTAGTTTCGCGTTGCGATTTTGTCGTTGTGATTTTCATTTCGCATTGCGATTTTCATTTCGCATTGCGATAGTCATTTTTGCCTTCAACATAATGTAGATTGAAATCAACAAAATCAACCATTACATTTCAATCAATTAAACAAGCACAAATAAGAATTATGTTCACATCAATTAAACAAATCAACTTTTACAAATCATCTTTTATAAATCAATTAAACAATCAAAAAAATAAGCAATAATTCTTATTTCCTCATCTACTATTGAATCAACTTTTGCAGCCATACATCATTTTCACGCAGCTCACTTCTGAGATTAACCTGCAGAAACCAAACATTTGCTCAAACAACACTTTCTACACATCTAAAACCTACAAACAACAAATTATTGAATTCTAGGTACTTAACCAAACATTTTCAAACCAAAAGCCTATAAACTTACCAATTGTTTATGGACATTTTTATAACGCGGATGCAGGTAGGCGGCGTCTCGTATATATCGATATAGCCATATAATGCCGAAACCACAAGCCTACTGCAGCTCTATCTCTATCGGTGGGAGGTAGATACTTTATACTTCTTGTGATCAAACGCTCCAGCGCCAAGCATACGAGAGGACCACAATCCCCTCTGGCTCCTTCCGTTTGTTGTGGTGCGGTCTCGTCTCTGCTAACTGTAATATTGAGCTTCTTTGGCTTCTTGTTTCTAGAACAAGTCCAATAATTTATCGCATCCAAGAATTTAGCCAAATGAGAGCTCCGTCCCTTAATAATATCTCTTAAATCAGCCAATGATATGTAATTTATCATGCTGTCATATACTATTGCCTTAAGGGATGGGAGCTGAAGCTCGACGAGAAGCCAATGTTTACGTTCCAAAACAGGGATAAACATCTGCAATCATAAGTAATAATTCATTCATTTGCGCACTTATTTATGAATACCTTTAAACTCAATCTAAAATAAATACTAACCTTATCGACCTCCTACCATGCAGGATAAAGTTTAACTTGTCTATTGCCCAACACAAATGATTCATCTCGTTGATTCTTCAAGTGAACGGCGTTAAAAGACGTCAACATAATTGTATATCGTATATTTCTTTTATTTTTCTTAAGTTTCCTAATTATTAGAAGACGTGACACCCACGCATCGATATGTTGTTTTACAAAAAAAAGACATATATTAGTGACTTACATAAATTTAAAAAAAAAATAATCAAATTGAAATATAAGAAAAATATAAGACTTACCCCTCCATCGAAATAGCCATTGTCTTCGACCCCTAATAATACGCCCCATCAAGACCGATCAAGCAACAAATAGATATCATCGTTGAGCTTGCATATGTCAGTGAAACACCCCTGGCTCCGCTCATGTAGATAAAAATCAACTGCGGTCTTAGCCCAAAGGGTGTTATCCAGAATTGTGTCCGGTAGTTGTCTCCTCTCCACTTCAGATACCAGAATGGTACTGGCCAGTAACTCATACAAGAGCCAACTCTCATCCATCATGTCCGGCACCTCAGAGGGTTTCTCAAGAATCTTACATATGACGCCATGTGAATCGGGCTCTTGAATGGTGGGAGGAACCTCTTCAACGATGACAGTGGCCTCTTGAACGGTGGGAGGGGACTCTCGAGGAATGATAGGGGCCTCTTCAACGATAGGAGTGGACTCTTGAGGGATGAAATGCGAGTCGGGCTTCTTCTTGCGGTGTCTTCGCACTATTGGGGTGTACGGAGACTTAATAGCACGTGCACGCCGTCTGATGCGTGAACTCCGTCGTGCAAGAAAAACCCGACGTAAAGCATCCACCTTATCGGGCCGCTAAATAATTAAATACAAAAATCAGTAAATAAACAGACATGATATTTAAACAGTGAAAACAAAGACAAATACTAACTTCAGAGTATTAAAGAATACACAGTTTAGCAGAATTGGCAGCAACCGAACAAATTTACTTTCAACCAAAAGACAAAACAAAGACAAATATTAACTTCACAGTGTTAAAGAATACACAGTTTAGCAGAATTGGCAGCAACCGAACAAATTTACTTTCAACCAAAATACAAAACAAAGACAAATACTAATTTCACAGTGTTAAAGAATACACAGTTTAGCAGAATTGGCAGCAACCGAATAAATTTACTTCAACCAAAAGACAAAACAAAATACAAATACTAACTTCACAGTGTTAAAGAATAAACAGTTTAGCAGTATTGGCAGCAACTGAATAAATTTACTAAGCAATCTAAGTGAAATGGTTAATCTAAGTGAAATTACGAGTAAATTTATCATCAAGTTAAATATGGAAAATCTTAAACTTACCTCGTTGCGTAGAGTATGAACCTCATTCTATAACGATACTACCATCTCACGTAGAGCGGCAACCTCACCACGTAAAGTAGACACCTCCACACGCCATGCACAATCGTTATCGCGTAGAGTACCGATCTCCTCACGCAAGGCATTGACCTCATCATGTAACTCCCTTGACTCATCCCGTGGAGGTGGAGAACAGGGAGATAGAAGTCGTGGCATCTTTGACGGTCGCCTATCATGAGGTGATGGTGGAGAAGAGGCTCGATGATGTGACGGGATAGGTGATGGCTCTCGTTGTAGATGTGTATAGTTGGGTCGATCAGGTGATGGCTCTGGGTGAGGTGATGGCTCTCGAAGTGGAGGAAGTGGAGGCTGCTCATCATTCGTGCCATCAAGAAAACGTTGACTAGCTTGCCACCAATCAGTGGCAAGCTCAGCCTCCGTGGGTGTCAGTCTCTGTAATGGAGTGTTGGCCTCCTAAAAATAAACTCAAACAAAGTTAAACGTCTACTATTAATAACTTGTTTATATATGATAGTATTTGTGTTAACTTACATTATTTATTGTCGCATATGGTATTAAGTCTTCCCAATCCAACAGACGTTTCCTCTTCCAAGAAATAGCCCTAGGAATATCATTTGAAGTTTTTAATGCATATGTCTGCATGCTGGGGAAAGCCTCGAATATCCAAATCTACAAACAATATAATAACAAAAATTAGTAATTGTTAAATAATTAATTATAATTTTGAAAATATTATATAGAAATTCTTACCTTAAAGGCCCAAAAAAAGCCTGACAAAGTGTATTTCGACCCATCGCCACGTAAACTTTTGCGATCATCAAAGGCAGACGACAACTTAGTCCAGGTAGCTTTCCATATATACGAACCCCACGGAAACAGATTCCATGCATTTAGGTCCTCTACCAATAATATTAGCTCCTGAGGAATAGGTTGTCTGGCCTCTCTGCCTAAAAAGCCGGCATACAAAAGTACTAGAAGGCATACTCGGACAACATCGACGTCATTCATCCGAGTAAAACCATCTTTCTTATTAAACAATTTCTTCAGGTCGTCGACGTGTAAGTTCGGCTTATCTATTGACTCATCAGGAAAACCCGGGATAACCATGATGGGCGGGTGATATGAAGAGTGTATCGGCCTACATCATCGTGTTCGAATCGTAAACCAGTGATTAAGCAGAACTCCTTCCGCCCAAAACAAGTATACGCCGGTGGAAAATGAAACCATATCTCTTCCTCACCACGTTGTATACTATCGGGTAGATCGTTAGTCATGGTCTGAAGCCACAAATGAGTCAAATTAGCATCTCCACCCGGATGCTATACTCTCAGCCATGGCCCGAAGCAGGTTTCCTCAAACAATTTTCTTTGTGCATGTGAAAGCTTCGAAGCAATTGTAGTGGCCAGGCTAACTTTATTCCTTAATGTCAATGAAGCCGAAAAATATTTCTACAAAAACAATAAACATACCAAGTTAGATATACCAAAAACTACACTGTGACGATATACAAAAAAAATAAACATAAAGAGTTGTAGTTTATTCTTGAAACTAAAATTTGCAACACTGTTTTGTCTTTTGGTTGAAATGAAAATCGCAACGAGAGAATGACTATCGCAACGCGGAAATGATTATCGCAACGAAAGAATCGCAACGCGAAATGAAAATTGCAACGAGAGAATCGCAACGCGAAATAAAAATCGCAATGCGATTTTGGTTTCTCGTTGCGATTTTCATTTCGCGTTGCGATTTTCATTTCTCTCGTTGCGATAATCATTTTCGTGTTGCGATTTTCATTTTCATGTTGCGATTTTAAGTTTAGAAACTATTCTTCTTCTGTAAATTGAAACTTTAATGGATTGCATTACTTCAACCAAAAGACAAAACAAGGACAAATGCTAACTTCACAGGGTTAAAGACTAAACAGTTTAGCAGTATTGACAACAATCGAATGAATTTAATAAGAAATCTAAGTGAAATGGTTAATCTATTATTGAAATTACCAGTAAACTTATCATCAATTTCAATATGAAAAACCTAAAATAATGCAAAAATTTCAAAATAAAAATAATTAAAAAAACTAACCATCGGAGGATGATTTTCCATTTCTGAATGATTGTGAGGGATTTCTGACCGTGAATGATTGTGAGGGATTTCACCGGAGATGGGGACGGATTTCGCCGTAGAGAGTGAGAGATGGAGATGTGACTGAGTTGTGATTTTAGGTTTTAGGTTATGAGTTGCGATTACGGGATATATTATGGACGGTTCAGTGTTCCGATAATTAATATTCGTGTTTGGAATTTGAAAATAAAATACGCGTAGCGACTCTAATGGCGCTTTAAAAATCGCGTTGCGATTTACGGATACGCGTTACGATTTTACATATTGTCGTTGAGATTTACGGATACGCATTACGATTTACGTATTCTCGTTGCCATTTACAGATACGCGTTGCGATTTACGTATTCTCGTTGCGATTTACTGATACGCGTTGCGATTTTACGTATTGTCGTTGCGATTTACGGATACGGGTTGCGATTTTACGGATACTCGTTGTGATAGTCAGAATCGCGTTACGATTTATATGTTCGCGTTGCGATTTTCATATTCGCGTTGCGATTCTCCAGAATCGCAATGCGAATTTGTACTATCGCATTACGATTCTGGGAACTGATTTGCGATTCTAGAGATCGCGTTGCGATTTTTATTTCGCATTGCGATTTTGTTGGTGATTTTGGCAAATCCAAAAAAGGTTGGTTAAAATCGTATATTATAAGGCATTTTTGGTCACTGAGGTTATTTTCTCTATTATTTTTTTGATTGTTTAATTGATTTGTAAAAGATGATTTGTAAATGTTGATTTGTTTAATTGATGTGTACATAATATTTGTGCTTGTTTAATTGATTGAAATGTAATAGTTGATTTGTTGATTTCAATCTGCATTATGTTGAATGCAAAACAGACTATCGCAACGCGAAAATGACTATCGCAACGAGAGAATCGCAATGCGAAATGAAAATCGCAACGAGTGAATCGCAATGCGAAAATGAAAATCGCAACGCGAAACTAATTTCGCGTTGCGATTTTCATTTTCGCATTGCGATTTTCATTTCGCATTGCGATTTTCATTTCGAATTGCGATTTTCATTTCGCATTGCGATAGTCATTTCTGCGTTGCGATTCTCTCGTTGCGATAGTCATTTTCGCATTGCGATTTACTCGTTGCGATTTTCATTTCGCATTGAGTTTTTCATTTCGCATTGCGATTCTCTCATTTCGATAGTCATTTCCGCGTTGCGATAGTCAATTCTACATTGCGATAGTCATTTCCGTGTTGTGATAGTCATATTCGCGTTGCGATAGTCAAATGAATGTCTAATAAGTGATAACAACTGAACTTATCATAGCAATGTTCAAACTCAAGTTACTAATACATGCCTAACTGAAAATGTTAAAAGTTCACACATAATATACACATAATACAACGTTTGCATTTAAAAATCACCTAAGTTAACAGTCCCAAAAGGTGAAGCCGGTTGTGATTGGGATTTTGATGAGGATCCATATTTTGGTAGAGGAAAAGATGATTGTGATGGCACTGGTGATCCACATGTCAACCTTGTATGACCACTTTCCTTGCACCGACTACATGTCGATCTCTTCTTCTCTTCACCCTTAGACGGTATACGATCGTGACTTTTTGGTTGGCCAGGTAGCCTTCTGTCCATGGCTGGTGGCAAAACTGTTTGTAAGTCATCTGGTATGTCCCACTCAGAAGGATGTGGAATAGGGTAGACAATCTCGCCATAAGTCTGTCGATATACTTCTGTAGTGTAGCAATCCATAGCGTATGCGCTTGAATCATCTTGGTTTAGATGAAGAGAAACTTTTATAACATGGCCACACGGATAACAAGATGTTTGCCATTTCATACAACTACACGTCTTTGCATTTAGATCGACAAGCCCATTTAAGTTATTATCCAGTACTTCAAACAAAGTGTTTGAACATGGTTTAACTCTCGATGACGTTGACTTCACAACACGTTTCGTTATCTTTTTTTCTGTCCATGGTGTAACACGATGTTCCAATGTTCCTGTAAATTTAAATAAATAATACTTAGTAAAATATATGATAAGTTACGAATTTAAAGAAATAATACCTGCATGGTTTCTTTTCTTGTAGTACCACTGTTGAATAGAGGCTCGAAAAAACTCCATTAACATAGTAATGGGTAATTTCCGGGAATGACGACTTAGAGCTGTGATTGATTCTGCACTATTAGATGTCATGAAACCATATCTTGCTCCAAGTTGATATACTCTTGACCATCTTTCAAACCCGACATCTTCTAGTGTTTGAGCACACTGAGGCAAAACACGTCTTAAACAGTTTATATGCTTATTAAAATCCACTTCCCGATAAGCTTTTACAGCCTTCCAGTATGTCCATTTGTGATTTTTTATACCAGCAGACCTTGATTTTAGATTTCTATACAAATGAACACCACAAAGTCCATAAAAAGCATCTGGGAAACACCTTCTAACAGCGTTGTCAATTAAGTTTGCCCTATCGGATATGATTGTCAGATTGCTAATAGGACTTATGCAATCCCTAAGATGCCCCATAAACCATGTCCATGAATCAGAGGTTTCAGATTTGCCAACCCCGTAAGCTATTGGCAGTATCCTATTGTTAGCATCCATGGCTACTGCTAATAAGTTTACTCCAAGGTAACGACCTTTTAAATGTGCTCCGTCAACTATAATAACTGGGCGCATGCAATTAATAAACGAACGAATCTACAAAATCATATACACAAGAAATATAATCATTTAAATGTGAAATGCATGTAACTAACAAAAATGAGTCAACAAAATTATATTGATTTACTAACCGCAGCACCAATGGCGATAAACAGCAACTCAAAGCATCCATCTCTATCTGTTTTGATATGAGTTACCGACCCAGGATTTTTCAGCTTTAAATTATGACAATAAGCCGGCAGTTGGGCAAACGATGCTTCTGGCGACCCCCTCAACAATTCAAGGCATAACATTTGGCTCTCCAAGCTTGAGAATATGAGATACTAATCTTGAACCGAGCATTCATGTCAGTCATAATTTCATGTCCCCGATATACCCTATAATTCAATAACATTAACTCAGCCAGAAAACCACCTAACACCTTTTTGTTTGCCTGTCTATGGTGAGAAAAAACTTGGGTTCTTGAACATGTATGTTTATCAATAAAAGTCATAACATGAAACATTTCGCAATCTTTTATCCTCTTTGCAATCATACGCCACATACAGTTTTTGTCAATCATACACATTGTTTCGAAACGATCTTTGCTTGATTTGTTAACTTTTAGTTGATAGCCATCTTCCACACATTTCGTATACAAAGCTATCTTCAAGTCTTTCTTTGTATCAAAACAATCATCTTTCTTGATACGAATACTTTTTGTGTAACAATCAACTGCTATCTTTACCAACTCTTCTTCCGGTATCTGAAGTAATTCTGGCATATTCCAGTTATACTCTCGTGGCATTTTCTTTGGGGATTTCTTCTTCTTCTTTTTCTTCTTCAGTGTTATATGAATTACAGAATGGATATTCAACATGTTCATTTACAGTCGTAACTTCCTCCTCATTATCATCAACAACATCTTCCTTGGCAACGGCTGTTTCATCATCAAAATTCGGGTATTGACCAATATCAAAATCATTACACGCAGTGTCTGTTTCTTCTTTTGAAAAATCATTAAAATCTGAGTATTGACCAAGATCAAAGTCCGGGTATTGACCAAGATCAAATTTCGAATACTGACTAGTACTCATAATTTTTTCTGTTGGCTCATCATCGTCTAACTGGTCAATACGAAAACCAGAATTTGGTGCTAAAAGTTGATTGGGATTTGGATTAGGGAAAGGTTGTGGGTTTTGAGATTATGTTTGGTATTGGAAATGTAGTGAAACAATATTTGCTTGGTGATGAAATTGTGGTGGAACCATTAAATTTTGAGCACCATAAACTGGGGTTGAAAAACTTAGTTGATTACTACCCGCTACTGACATAACTTCACTACTTCTAGGTTCAACAACATACAATGTAACATCATCACTTGAAACACTAATGTAAGCAATGAATCGTTCAACATCTTCATTGTCGGTTAACAAATAAACTTTACCATTTCTCTGATAAGATAGCCTAAATCCACTTAGGGGCTCTAAATTCAATTTATTTGCAACACGTAACATTAGAGTTTCATAAGTTAACTTTTTTAATGACAGTTTTAGTTGAAGATTCATGGGTAAAGACATATATTGTAAAACACCATGAACATTCTCCCATGACCCTCCAAAACACAAATCTATCCAAACATGATCAACATTAGATGATTTCATTATTGTAAATTAATTTACTAAACAAACGAGCTGCGAAACTAAAACCTATTGCCGGATGGGGAAGGATGTCGTTGGATATAGGAACGGATGTCGCCGGAGAGAGTGATAGATGGAGATGGAATGAGTTACGATTTAGGGATTTAGGTTATGAGTTGCTCCTGCTGCGTAGTTATATACCCAAAACATTTGTGTTGCGAAATTAAGACCTGTTGCGAATTCAGAAATCGAGTTGCGAATTTGAAATTCAGTATTGCGATAGTCAGAATCTCGTTGCGATTTACAGATTCGCATTGCGATTTACGTATTCGCGTTGCGATTTTACGTATTGTAGTTGCGATTTACGAATACGCATTGCGATTTACGTATTCTCGTTGCGATTTACAGATACGCGTTGCGATTTACGTATTCTCGTTGCGATTTACGGATACGCGTTGCGATTTTACGTATTGTTGTTGCGATAGTCAGAATCGCGTTGCGATTTATATGTTCGCTGGAAAATCGCAATGCGAATTTTTACTATCGCATTGCGATTCTTCATAATCGCGTTGCGATTCTGGGAACTGATTTGCGATTCTGGAGATCGCATTGCGATTTTTATTTCGCATTGCGATTTTGTTGGTCATTTTGGCAAATCCAAAAAAAGTTGGTTAAAATCGTATATTATAAGTTATTTTTGATCACTGAGATTATTTTCTCATTAAAAAAATTAAAATACAAACGAATAAAAATAAAATAAAATAATTAAATTAGTAATTTATCCTACAAAATAGAATGATACTTATTAGTTATTACTGGATTTTGAATTGCCATTTCTATTGAAAAAAAAAACAAACGATATAAACTTAAAAATAAGAAATCAAACCTGAGGAGAGATCCGAAAGGGGAACAAATGGAGAAAAATCAGAAAAACAAATTAATAAATTAAAAAGAGAGAAACGAGAAACGGTCTTGGTGCGGGTAAAAATAACAACGGAGGAGAAGCTCCTCCTCTTTCACAAATCTCTTTGCCTCTTGTTGTCCTCCAATCTTTGAACCGAGTTTTGAATGCGTGTTTAACTCGATCAACAATCAAACAACGAGGATCCGGATCAATCAATGGAAACGTCCATAGTTCATATATGATTTTTATGTGAGATTACATCGTCATTGTTTGGGAATTACTAATAAAGGAAGTGGGAGGGGTGAATGGTGGATTAAAAAAGAGAAAAAGAAAAGAGAGGAAGCGGGGGTGGTAGTTGTTTTTCTAAGAGTAATGTCTTGTAGGGGTTAGGAAAATCAATGGGGTTTTGGAAATGCTTCCGCCGCCGCTGCCGGATCCGTCAATATTCAAGGAGTTGTTTCTATAGTTCGCGATATTGGAGATCCTTGTCTTTCCTATTCTTCCATCAAGGTTGTTTTTAGCTGTAAGATTATTCCTTTAACATTCTTTATATCTATATATTCTATGAGTTAAAATAATATTATCGAACAATTTTGTTTCTCGTGGAATCCAAATTTAATTCGTTTAAATTATTTGTTTCTTATCATTGAATCAGAACATTTTTTAAGCATTATAAGGTCTTAGTAGCAAACGTTTGGGTCGAATGAGATCTATGAGCGGAGTCTAGGGTCTTCTTTTGTTTATTTTATTTTTATATTTTGAAAACAGGAAAGGAAATTATTATAATAATGAAAATTTTAATTGGCTAAATAATTAAGGCATTGAGTAAGCTTGAAATAAATAATTAGTGATTGGAACCTTTGTTGAACTGTTAGCACTTTAATAGTTGAATTGTATTTGTATGTTTATGAAGGACAAAAGTTTAAACTGAGAGGGACGGGTTGACGCTGCTCAAATGCAATGAAACATTAATTATAAAGGATATTAGCAACTTGGTGTTTCCGAACATTGAACGTTGTGCTCTCACTAATATAGTTATATATTTAGAATTTATGGTCTCTGAAAAACTGAACCGATACCATGTAATGTGAGTTCAGATGAATTGCAGCATTTCAGTCTTACCATCTTAGCAGACCAATACTATGAGTAATGATTGTTGTCCATGTATGGAAATGTTTCTTTACTGGCTCTCTCCATTTTCTATTTTGATAATTTCAATAATTAGAGAAGAAAGTGGCTTCATTACTTTTGAAAAAATTGATTTCCACAAAAATGTACCTGCATTGGTTTCCCATTTTCTGATTATGGTGTGGCTATGGTAATTTTTTTTATCTATTTCTATATTGATAATCTAGGTACTTATGATTTAGGTAGGCAAGATGCTTAAGCCAGAGAAGTGGCATGCCACTTTCGATAACAAAGGGAAGGTTTCTGGTTTTCAGAAAGCACTCGAGTTGATTATTCTGGGGGTATTCTGCAGTTTCTCTTTCCCTTCTCTTTCTCCAATCATTTGTTTCAACTATATTGTTTATTACGTGCTTTCTTATTGCAATTATTTTTTGGAAATCTGTTGGTATTGCTATTGTACTTGCAGACATGGATTTTGATTGTTGTCCATGGTGAAATCTGATATGCTCAGATTTGTTTCATTATTTTTTAAATAAATAGGCTTCAGTAGTAAATTGATCTCTAAACTATACCCTAATTTTCAGATTTGTACTTAAAGGGTTTTTTGGTCAGAAGTGGTACCTAAAGTTTTAATTTTGTCCCAGTTTACCCCCAAAAAAATATTGGCCACTAAGAATGCGGCACATGGCATGTTCTTATTGTATACTGTACACTTTTTGGGGTAAAATGAGATAAGATGATAGTTTAAGTGCCACTTTTGACCAAAAAACTTCAAGTACCAATCTGAGAATTGGAGTATACTTGAGGGACCAATTTGTTAGTAAAATAGAATAAATAATACCAAATGTTATGAGTTTGTCAATCATTATTCTTCCTTTCCTACCAATTAAATTTTTAGTTTTTATATCTAGTCATGTTCAACTTTGCATGTTTATATGCAAATTCTTATTATATATACCCCCTACCAATGGAAATATCTATATTTCACACCTTCCTGGACTGTATGGAATTTTAGCAAGGTTTATCATAGATGGCAAATGGATAGTTTTTGAGGGTATTAACTTGTCCAACATTAATAGATGTGTCAGTTAATACCTTATATGATGTGTCAGTTAATACCTTCATGATAATCAAACCTGACTAATTTTTTCATGTTATTTATATGCATGCTCTATTTTATGTCGCTACTAATGACTCACTAGTTTCTTGAAGTTCTTTAATTTTTTGAGTGCTTCCGTTTCTAATTCTTGTGTGCTTAAAATGTAAACACATTTGGGTTTGGCTTCTAGAAATTTACATGGTTTATGACCTGCACCGATCTCTGGGCTTAATGGCACTTCTCCTTTGTTTTATTTGCATTTATGACGCTTGCTGTCATATTTAATCTTTTTTATCATTCTGGGTTTATTTTCCCACATACCTTTCTGCGACCTCCCTGGTTCTTAGGTTAGGTAATCTGATATAATTCACGAGTGCTTCTTTAATCAGCCCCATATCTCATATAATATGACATCTTAGTTCATAATTAAGAGGTGGGAGGCCAAATGTTGCTTCAGAGCACTGCTTGGTTGCATGAGGAATAAGAGGAGAAAATTCTATCATTTTGTTTGTTCCATATATTGCACTTGTCACCTTCTTTACCTTGACTAGCTTTAAGATTTAAGTGATATTGCTACTGTTTTTCAGATATTGTCGTATTTTCTTTCCACATATCTCCCTTCCCCTCCAAATTTGTATGCACACGCTCACATTTTCTGCAGTTTGGTGCAAAACTTTAACATCAGTTTATCTCATTGATATTAGGGGGTTCATCCGTCTATAAGACCAGAAGTTTGGGAATTTCTTCTAGGTGTCTATCCATTGGGGAGCACTGCAGATGACAGAAGGCAATTAAGGAGGGCCAGGAGGTCTAGTACTGTTCTTTTTCACTTTATATTCTAATAGTCTTTTCCTTGTAAGTGCCTTTCTTAGGCTGTTTTGCTTGCATGTCAAAGTAACTGAATATCATTTTTCAGTTAAATATTCTTATGTAATCATACTTAATTGTCAACCATGGATAGGTTTTCAATCAACATTATATTTAATGATTATCTGCACTATCCATTATTTCTTCTCTTTCTATTGTCAGCAGATAGACAAATATGCTCATAGTCATATGTAGGAAATAACTATCCAATCAAATGACTGAAAGTTTGACTCGTTAGGGAAGTCTTATTTGTTATGGTATGATTTAGACCAGTTAAACTACCTTTTTGGAGGCTCATGTTGGAAAGGATTATAATTTTACTCATATTAGCTTTTATTATTTAGGGATAATGTTTGTAGTTTATCCTTATCCTCTTCATCTGCTATTGCAAGCTATAAATTCTTCAAATGACAATAATTTTAAACAGAGAAGCATACTATGGTTTTAAATGCTGGGAAAAGTGCTCAAATTGCAATGCATTGAAAATACAGCTAGGGCACAGAAGATTAAAGGGCAGTTTGATTGCAATGCATTGAGAATACACGTCAGCACTATTTAAGAAAAATATACACACACACGTGTCTGTGTTCATTTTGGAAAAGGCTCTCTCTTGATTAAGCATTTGTAGAGATGCTTGCTATCTATGCATCCAGAATTGATGACTTGTTTATTTTAATAGTTGAAATTTTCTTTTTAGAAAATTTCTCTGTGGTGCTGGGAATTTTTTGTATTCCACTATCCTTTGTTCAGATCAAGGCTCTGTTTTTCTGAATTCTAAATATTTAACAGCTGCATGGAAACTATGCAGGGAACGTTACAAGGACCTTATAAAGCAATGCCAGGCAATGCATTCAAGCATAGGCACTGGTTCACTTGCCTATCCTGTGGGTTCAAAAGTTATGGATATGAGGACTCCGTCCAATGAAATAAAAGTTAAGCGTAGAGAAGCTTCCACTGATGGTACTGGTAAAAGAGAGAAATATTCTGATTTCAGTAATAACTGTTCTGATAAGTCGTATGTTGACCAAAGAGTGCTTATTAGTAATTCTGGTGACCTTACAAGTGTCAGGAGAAATGCTGACAGTGCTGCATATGATTCTTGTTCTTCATTGACTTCTGATCCATGTGGTCCTTGTTCCTCAAAAAGAGGTGGAGGCTGTTATGGGTCAGAATTCGTAACTGAATATGATTTTAATTTTCCTTCATTGCCAGTAACAGATTTGTTTGAGAAGAGTGAAGATGAGAAAGAATTTGATGCAGAGGTGTATTCCACTGGATATAAATTGATTTTTGAGGATGATAATATGCATAGTTTTCAAATCAATAACAATGCAGATTTAATCATGGAATCAAACATTTCATCCTCACTTTCTGAAAATATCTCACGTCGATATAACACTGAAATTGAGTTGGCGACCCATTCTGATGGCTTTGAGCCAGTTCTGAGTCCCAACAATGTAAGTTGTAAAACAGAAACAGTTAACAGATTAAGCATACCAAGTGTCCCAGAAACACCACTGGTAAATGCAACCAGATCTAAAGAAGGGGCTTCCCAAGAAGAAAGAGTAAGTGAATGGCTTTGGACTCTGCACCGAATAGGTAACATCTGTTATTTGCAGTTTAAAACATTTTCCCCTTTTTGTATTCCATTGGATGGATACTGTTTATGTGTTTTTCTTCTTAGCTGACAAGATTTGTGTTTTCTCAGTTGTTGATGTGGTCAGAACGGATAGTCATCTTGATTTCTATAAGGATACAAGGAATTTAGCTAGAATGTCTGATATTCTCGCTGTTTATGCTTGGGTCGATCCTACAACTGGTTATTGTCAAGGTTTTAGCCTTTTTGCTGAACCTTTCTCTTATTTTTGTTATTTATTTGGTGCAAAGCTGTGAAAGATTCAACTTTAGGTTTGAGTTTTAAACGTCTAGTGCTAACTGTTTTGCTTGGATTTTGATCTTAGGTATGAGTGACCTGCTGTCTCCTTTTGTTGTGCTCTTTGAGGATAATGCAGATGCATTTTGGTGCTTTGAGATGCTCATTAGGAGAATGGTAATTTAAACTTGGTGAATATGTTGATCTTGATCATTTATGTTTTTAGCATCTCTTTTCCATACGCCTCCAGCGTGAAAACTTCAAGATTGACGGGCCAACTGGAGTGATGAAGCAGCTGCAAGCACTGTGGCATATTTTGGAATTCACAGACAGGGAAATTTTTGCACATCTTTCGAACATAGGTGCTGAAAGTCTTCATTTTGCATTTCCAATGCTGCTTGTTCTGTTTCGGCGAGAGTTATCATTCAATGAGTCTCTTCATATGTGGGAGGTCTGTGCCCTTAGTCTCATTTGATCCTATCAATCTGTTTCAATCTTTGGTACTACTGTGTTATAATATGCATTGTGATAAAATTTGAACGGGCATAAATAGTCACCTGGTTGAACACAAGGCTAACAATAATAAGGTGGAAAGCTTTTAGCACTAATTTTGTTGCCGCCCATTTTAGGGCATACTGCAATTGCTATCTTCTTTATTTCACTCTTGATTGGGCCCCATATGTCCGGAATTTTGTCCCTGTTTTTCACCATTGCAGTTCCTTGAGGAGCACTGCCTGTTGTGATCAGTGATGCTTGTCTTACCTAGATAACTCAAACCCTGGACTGATGGTATTTAACTATTTATAGATGAAGGTCCTGAAACCAACTTGTGGGGTTTGACTTTTGAGTACTGCATCTATGAGGGCGCTTTTACAATATAATGTTAAAAGAATAGGGCCACATGAAATTACTTGAAATTTCCAACAGATTGCTCTTTAAATTGACAGAGATCACCATAAACCTTTATACAGTGTAGAATACATGTTATTGATTTGCATTTTAATCAAGTCTCAAAATCTTGATTTGCTTCACCTAATTTTATTGTCAAGTTCAATTTTTCAATGTCTGAGGTGCAGTTGATGACCATGGTTTCTTTGAAATGGAGTATTAGCCCTTTAAGGAAGTTGAGAAAAGAAATCGTGTATCTCTAGAGTTTCTCAGGATAAGCATGAAACTATATTTTACCTTGTCATATTCTTTTGGGTTTTTTCTTTTTTGGTGAGATTGGCACTAAGAGTATCAACCTCAATATAGATGATTTGGGCAGCTGATTTTGATGAATCTGCCACCTGCAATTTAGAGGACATCTGTCTAGATGCATTAATTATACAGCTTCCTCCGGATTCTGCAGAAGAAATCAGAGAAGAAAACCTAGAAAATGGAGATGATGGTGTAAAGGGTGACCTACAATCAACACATTCTTTTTCAGCATCAGCTCATCGCTTTTGTGGTTTGACAAAGAATTTTTTGGCTAAAAGTAATATCCTCCAATTTTGCGGCGTTGTCCCATCAACTAGGAAAGGAGATGACAATTTACCTGTATTTTGTGTAGCTGCTATTCTTGTCATGAACCGTCAAAAAATCATCAAGGAAACCCATTCAATAGATGACATGATAAAGGTAATTCCCTTAAAATTAAAGTTGTAGTATCATCCTCTCTCTTTACACACACACGCACAACTTTGAGTATCCATTCTATTCACAACCCTTCTCAAGTAGAATTTATTAAATTTACCAAAAGTGGAGAATGCTTTTTCTTAAGATGCATTGTTATTATTTTGCCCTGCTGTAGAAAGGTAGAAGAGTTGTGTTCTCTTCTGCAAAATAGAAAGGAACTTGGACAACATGTCGGATAGATATGATGTTGATCAAAGTGATGCCTCACCTTTGGAATGGTGCTTTAGCTTCACTATATTGCAGCCTTGCAAGTGAAATTTGGGGGAGTTCACCTGTATTGCTTGATTTATTTATAAGTTGGTTCTGTACTAAATTTTTATATATACTATTTTTGTGCTTAAATGAAATTTAACCTACCAGAGAAGTCAGGTTTTGAGTGAGTGCATACATATCCATATTTATGGCCCTTCTATTTCCTGCATAACCTGTTATTTTTCCATGGCTTTCTCTCTGTTATGCGCATTCCCTAAATTTTGGATGTGAGAACTTTTTTGATGGAAGGGTTGATTTCTATGTACAATATTTCCAAAGTGGAAATGATTACTGACAATACTTTTTTTTTGTATTTTTCTTTTGTAGAAAGAACTTAAAAATTAAGATGGGGGAGATTTCCCTTTCTTTATCTTGGATATTTGGTATCCTTGCTTTGATTTCAATTGTTTTTCTTTTCTCTTCTATTGCAGATTTTCAATGATAAGCTTCTGAAAATCCATGTTAAAAGATGCGTTGGTGCTGCAATCAAGCTCAGAAAGAAATATTTATACAAGGTTAGTAATTTACGAGGCAATATGTTAATTCAACACACTACTGTGCGATGAATCCTTAAATATTTTGCTTCTTTCTCTGGTCTCTTTTTCCAATGACAAAATGAAGGTGCTCTATATTGGAAATTCTAATGTGCTTAAACATGTGAAAACAAGTACCCAATTACCCATGTGAGAAGATGCGAGTCAATGCATGATAACTGATAAGTATAACCTTTTCTTTTTTACTTGATTGCTGAGATATATAGTCTTAAATGGAGCACGGTGGTTTGATATGATTCATATAGCGAACCTCATCTTGGAAAATACTGTGTTGTTCTTGCAATGACTTTTCTTGATTATCAAATTGCATGCATTACATAATTTCCTGATAGAATTAATACTGTTCTTTTGTATCAATTTCTCCTTTTGAATGGATGGGATGAGAACATTAACATGTTGAATGAACATAATTTTTATCTCCATTACCAAGTTATATTAACTAGGTGGCATGTAAAATGTGTAAATCCACAGTTTGCCAATGGACGTGCATGGCATCACTTGTTTTGTTGCTCCATTAATTGTTTCACTTTCACAGTAACCTTTACTAGTCTAATGTTTCATTTCAATCAGCTAATCAAGAGCAAAGGCCACATAGATCGCAGTATTTAGTAAGGTCTGCAACATTTCCTACCTACTTTCACGGAAATAGAAGGTGACAGCACTTTGAGCCAGTATTTTCTATCCGGATTTCGTAGTTTTGACATGGCATGAAAGTTTATGGTGGATTTTATGATGGTATATAAAGCAAAATGTTTTTGTTGTCCAAAGATTCATCCAATTTTTTCACCATCATCCTCAAGTCTGTTCCAAGGTAACTACTGTCCTGTTTATATTCCGTTTTTCAGCAATAGTGTATTTGATGCAAAAAGAATGTATACAAATATTCATATTGAAATTTTGGGTGGAGTGGACTTGCTATTACATGCTGAGACAATTACACATTTTCAAGACAAATATGGTATTTTGGTTAAAATGATATATAGGAAATTTAGTATTACTATTTGGTGAAATCTGGAGGTATTATTAATTTATGGAAGACTTGAACTGTGGGTTATGTAGTTTCAGGGAAAATCATGACATATTTGGAGATGGGTATAGAATATTACCCTCCAAATACATTAAAAACTAATGCTGAGTGTGCATTGATAGATCATGTTTTGTGGAATCAATTTATTTTGCATCATGGTGGGTTGTGCTGTAACTTACACAGTTTTCCTCCTCCATTTGTTGAAGGCAGGAAGAAAGAATGAAACCATTTTCTCAATGTTGATACAGATGTAAGTAAGCATTTAGCAATTAGAGGGAAACCAACCTGTCCCAGGTTAGGCCGCCATCATCTGCCTATTTTTACAATTCAAATGTCAAATTGTGCCTAAATACATGTCAAATATGCTGTCTCTAGTTATAGATAATTGTTGAACTCTTAGCATTTTTTCTGTAGGACAATTTAGGTTAGGATTGTTTTTGAAAAGAAATTCTCCACAATGTTACTTTTTCTAAATACATTCATACCCTCAATTCTTTTGAAATATTTTATTTAATTACTAATAGAAATAATTTTCCCTGCAAATGGAGTTTAATCCCTTTAAACGTAACATTAATTCAAGCCATATCTTGAAGTGTCACCATTATGCCATCGAATATTTATTGATATTTTTTTTGCATAACCATCGGTATCTGATTTATTAATCGACTAATTCGGATCAAGTACTATAGAGACGATGGTGACTCTCCCAATCTAATTTGCTCCATTCATAAATGTCAAGATTCCAACCCCTAACTTTACTTAAGGGATTTAGTGTCTCGTTTCATTAGACCAATTGATTGGTGAATCTTTATTGTTATTATTGACTCAAATCAACAAACTAACCATTTTCAAATTTTATGCTATGATCATTTTTTTCCTACCATGGATTTCAATTTGTTCCATTCAGATCAAGTACTGTAAAAGTTCAATATGGATAATGGAGACGGCCCTTTTAACATAGTTTGTTACTTACGTAGATGATAAGATTCAAATCTCTAATCTTATTTAAAGAATCTAATGTTCCATCTCAATGGACCAACTAATTATTGGTTTTTATCATTGCTATTTGGTCGTTAATCTAAGGTTTTTTTGCTTAATCACTAAGTTGTTTTGAATCAATAATGAATCCAATTATTAGGTTAAATCCATACCATAAATTGTAACCTAATAGCATCGTAAGAATCAACCCTACTTATGGTGCGTATGTATATTCCTATCCTAACAACAAATTGACAATAACAAAGACCAATCACAAGCCATGTTAATTGGGGTTCACTTTCCCGAGTTTCAAGTAAATTATACTAAAATAATCACAAAGTTAGTCCAGCTATGGAAAGAAAATTAACAAAACCAACCATTAGGTCCCTAAAAGGGAATTTAATTCATCATAATAAGCTACATCTCAAAATAATAACAAGAGCAATAGTGTGGATTTCGATTTAATATGGTTAAATAAACAAGGGTAAATTACATTAAATGGTCACTTATATTTGAGTAAATTTCTTTTTCCCCACTGATGTTTCAAAATCAATAATTTAGTCACTAGCGTTATCGATTTATAACAAATTGAGAGTGACGGAATGTTGATGCCACACGTTAACCAACTAACTTGACACGCTAGATCGGTCGTGTGACTCATCTAGATTGTTTCCCACATTACATGTTTACTTAGTTTCTTTCTTCCTCTTTTTCCCATTAGTTTTTCATGTATTTGATCTATCATTTTCTTTTTGAAACAACGGGGACCTCTAGTTTAACTTCGTTTACCTAGGATTCTTTCTTTTATCTATCATTAGCCTTTTGAAACACCGGGGGCCTCCAGTTTAACTTCGTTTACCTATGATTCTTTCTTTTCAGCCCCCGTCATTGCTTTTTCTTCCTTCTTCTCATCCTCATCCATCGTTTTTTTTTTCTTTTTTCCTACTCTACTTTTCTTCCTTCCTTTTCAGCTTCAGTAATGACTTCATCTTTCTTTTCAGCTTCAGCAATAGTTTCTTCTTTCTTTGCTTCTTCAATCCAATCTAAAATAGTTCTAATTAATCCAGTTATGGATAGTGCCTTGCAAAGAGGGGTGTGAAATTGCAAGGCATTTTTGGTCATTCGTCCTCTGTACTTCGCTTAAACATCCAAATTAGAAGATATTTATGGGAACATATATATGTTTTCTTTTCAAATGTCCTTTCTTTTCTTAGTTTAATCCATGGCTTAAACATATATACTACGCTTGTTTGAATAACTAAATTTGAAAGAATTAATATTTTAATCAAAACAAAACACATAAAATTTACTAAATATTAAATTAAAGAAATTTAAATTTTCAAAAATTATAAGGTTTAGATTAATCACCTATCAATATACATGAATTTGAATAAAGTTTGAAAGTAAAAAATAATTAAAATAATTACAAAGTGTGTTATTATTGCGTATTAATCGTATCCCTAAACACCTTAGTTTAATAGGTATACCAATTATTCCTGCAATTCCATTTTATTTCATCACTAAACATATAATTTTATTTTATTTTGGTCATTCGTCATTAAAAAATAAAAAGAATTGCTGGCGTAATTTTTTTTAATGATGACGTGACATTATCTTATTATGATATGTTAACATCACTATTAATTTTTTTTAATAATAGATTATCAAAACGGAACAAAAAATATAAGTTTAGTGATGATTTTGAAAAAAAACTGAGTGACTAAAACCGAACCGCATAAATAATTGAGTAACTAAATACATAATTTACCCTAGTTTAATTTATATTTATTTTATTTTTTTGAAATGATCTCGGGTGATTACAAAATAGTATATGTTCATAATCTTTCTTAATCATTGCCAATATATACTCTACATACATAGTTACTCAAATTCAAGACTTCTAGAAAAAATAATATTCTTCTCCATCACTAAGATCATTTGATGGGTTTTAATTTATATTTATTAAATGCATTGCATTGTGTTCAAATTATTAGATGCGATACTTTTTAATGAGTGGGAAAATCAAATGTTAAAATATTTTATTAAAGAAATTTCATAAGAAAATTGTAATAATTAATATAACTTCCAAACAAAAAGATAAGCACAAATAAATGCAGTCCAATAATTGGGAATCTGACAAGTGACAACTATGGTATGGGGAGACCCATCACTCGTATAAGAGACATTTATGGAAGCCTATATTCAAGTCAAAATAAATATTATGTTTCATTGTCAACCAAGTAAATCATTGAATTACCCTCCACCCCTATTTTGTGGAGACTCGACAATGCTCATATAATTATATACATTATTTGTTTTAGGAATGAAATTTTGGTAAACAACTATGATATATTTATATTTGGACTATACATTTTTCTCATTTAGATATCTAAATTATTTTTTTTGTTAATTCGGGTATCTAATGTTACAAACGTTATCATTTTAAGTACTTTATTTTTAATGATCGTTAAATTTTAATTTGAATAAATTAAAATATATAATTTCCTCTTCCACTGTTTATTCAAGTACCTATCGTTACAAATGTTATCATTTTAATTATCTTATTTATATAATTTTAATTTCTTATTTTTTTAAAAAATAAAAAAAATATTTTTAAAATAACCTCTTCCCCCACCGCGGTCGTCCCCCTCCCTCCCGCCCGTTGAATGCTTCAATGCTTGAATGATTTATAAAGACTGAAGCAAGGAAATGAAGGGAGAACTATGGCCTTGTACCTCAAATACCAACGAGACGAGCGAAATTTACCGGAACAAGGTTTTGGCCGTTTGTACTTTGAAGATTACTTCATGCTGATTTGGAAAAATGGCATATTCCCTGCTAATAGGAAAAGGGACGGCCACGAAGAGATGGGGGGTGGGTAAGGGGGAAGACGCGGGGGAGGGGAAATTTGTTTTTGTTTTAAATAATATTTTTATTTTTCAAAAAAAATATAAAAATTTATCGCAACGTGACACGTTTCACTTAACGAAATTTTTTAATATCATTATGGTCGGAGTTCTTAAAATGGTAACTATATAACGTTATGAAAATGTATTGACTAGACAATAATTTAGACACCTAAATGGAAAAATGTATAGTTTAGGGTTTGGACACTTATTTTTATATTAAGCCTTTTTATTTTAAATATAAAATATAAAGTGGTCTCAATAGTCAAGAGAATATTGTTCTTCCTTAGGTTTTGAGTTCAATCAGTTGCGTCTGCAGGACATATGTTGTCAATAATTAAGAAAGATTCTGAATATATATTATCTTAAAATCATCTCAAACTAAAATAATAATAATTTCTAATATAATATCTAAATTATTCTAAATTTATTTTATTTATAAATTAAAAATAATATATATTCTAACGAGTTTCAATTAAATCAAGTTTCAGTTTATTATACTATATTACAATTGATTTTTTTTAAACTTACACCTGATAGTTTAATTTAAAATATTTTAGCTTAAAATCTATAATTTTACTTATTATTTGGATATTGTGACACTTTTGAGAATACCCCAATCATATGTTAATGGTTAGGAGAATACCCCAATCATATGTTTAGTTTATGATTTTAGTCATAAAGTTTTATTTTAATTTTGAATATTTTCTACTTCTTACTAAAATCAACTGATCATATTTAAAAAAAAAACTTAAAATAATTAAATTTAAAAATATAAACTAAATTTATATATTATATATTATATATATACTACTAATAAAATTTGACTGAACAAATTTTATAGATATTAGGAGTTATAATTGAAATTTTAAAATTTTAAAAATAAAAATTCAAAAACTAAATTCATAACTTTAATATAATACAAAGACCAGTAGAATAATTTGACCTAAAATTTTCCAAAGTCGGCTAATAGACAAATAGAAGTGGCAAATATAGAAATAAATAAATAAAAAATCTTAAAATTAAGCAGGAAAGAAATGAAGTTGATAATGAAAAGGCTGGGATTTTGAGCTTTGGAAAACTTCAAATCTATAATACCCCATTCCCAGTCCTCCAATAGTGTTTGATTGATGTTCCCAGTCCCGTACACTTCTCTATGGATCATTGTATCTCGATTCCATTTTCATACACAGTTTACATGCACAAATAAAATTAAGGCTCCTTCAGTCTAATACCCCATGATTTTCCTTATCTTTTAATCTTTGATTTTTCTCTTTTATTCTTCACGATTTGTTAACAATCTTGTTTTTCTAATCTGGGTTTTGCTTCTTTTCTGGCGGGAACTCCTCAGCTAGCGGGAAGGAACCTACTTTCCTTGTGTGTGTTTCCATTTTATTCTGTAGGAACAAGAAGAAAGGTGTTGAAATAGGAAAGTTTTGAATCTAAACTTGATGGCAAATCCACCAGGGAGCCATCAGCAGGAAGCGAATCGTGCGTCATCTTCTTTTAATGGAGCACACTTGAGCAACGGAAATCATAAACCCGAGACCTCGGGTTCGGGTTTGAAGCATAACCCTGTCATTTCCTTGGATTGGACCTTAGAAGAGCAAGGTATACTAGAAGATGGGTTAAAAAAGTGAGCATTCCTTACTCTTTTTCTCTTTTGGTTTCATGGAATTTTGGGTTTTTGCTGAAATTATAATTTGTAAATTTTCAATTTTAAGTTATAGGAATGAGTTTTGTTGCTGTATTCTTGATTGAATTTGTTGTTTCTTCGAACTGGTTGGAATTATGAAAGAAGGAAATAGTCTGCATATCAGTGTTACAAGTAGGGCTGTAAACGAATTGAGTCGAGCTCGATTATTGCTGAATTCTATTCGAACAATCTAAAACTGAGTTCGAATCGACTCGAAAGTTCGCGAACTTAAAAATATCAAGTTCAACTCGAACTCGAAATATAAAATTGAAGCTCAACTCGAGCTCCAAAAATCTTGAACTCTGAACATTCTCAAACTCAGCCCGATTGAAGCTCAAACTCGAACTCGATTCAAGCTCGAACTCGAGTTCAAACCTGGATCTTAAGTACATGAAACATTTATATATATATATATATATATATATATTAAAAATAATTTATAAATATTAAAATTATTAATAATTTAATTTAAAAAATTAATATATTATTTTTTTTGAGTTGCTCACGAGTTTTTTGAGCTGAGTGAAGTAGCTCGCTTCGACTCATTATGAACTCAATTCGAGTTCAAGTTTGAGGCGAGCCCATTTGATTTGAGTGTGGACCGAGTCGAATTTGAGTAGCTCACGATTTGTCTCGTCTCATTTACTGCTCTAGTTATAAGTTTACAAATGAAATGGAATAGTTCAGCTGCTAATAAGCATAGGAGCAACATATTTATAACTGCCATTGTTCCTTGTCAGAATTTTAATGGAGATAGATGTTTGTTGAATGCCAGTCTTCTGTTTATCCGAATTCTTTGTTAGTTGTTTTGGATAATCCAATTGATTATTTTCCACATTTTACTGAATGAGCTCATTATTAGCATAATTTATTTTATAATTCTTGTTTTTGTTGGGACTGGGAGAATGCAAATTTTAATCCTAATTCTTTTTGTGACATCTTCTCGCAGATATGCATCAGAGCCGAGCATAATTCGTTATGCAAAAATAGCATTGCAGTTACAAAACAAGACAGTCCGGGATGTGGCTTTGCGGTGCAGATGGATGACTGTAAGTTTTACTGTTCTCATAAGTTACAATTTTAACTCATCAGCTAACTGTTTGCTAGACTTCTTGAATATATAGACTTATATATATTACCACAAGTAGAGCATATTTCTCAAATGGTTTAAATGCTACTACAATGAGGCAGGCTGTAATTGTTGGAGTATATTCATATTTTGCTGACTTGATGCCATAATTATTCTGTGTTATATATACATATACGTCCATGCGTGTGTGTAGTGAATGTGTCAATGCGCACATGTGTGCACATAATCTGATTTATTCTTTTTGCAGAAAAAGGAAAATAGCAAGAGAAGGAAGGAAGACCATAATATAGCCAGGAAAATTAAAGACAAAAAGGTATGATTTACTGGTTCTTTTTTCTGTGTGCTAAGCCATATTTATTTCTGTTTTCTTTACTCCTATGAGCCTACTCTGTTGGTTAATTGTTAGAATGCAAGATATTAGATATCGGTTAAAAATGAAAATTGCCATTCTCTGTGATACGTATGTGCAGAGATTATATATGAGCATTTATTTTCTATCTCCTCTTTCATACTGTCACATAAGAGATGTGATTGACTGCTTCCATTACATGCAAGGTAGTGGAGCAAAGCTCATTGACCATGGGGAGGTTATTGAGTTTAGCATAGTATTTTTATATTTTTCATGGTAGAGATGTTAGATGGAGATATAATTCGTATCTGTGGCTAAGCAGCTGTTTCTTTGGGTTTTTGATTGCGTATCGTAGATTCTTGGGGCATGCTCATTACAATATGCTTGAATCACAGTATGGTGCATTCTTATAGTTGTCTTTCCATCAACTTTTTTTTGAGGCCTCTGTTGGGGAGATTTGCATTGGAGCATTCTTTATGTCTTCTGATAAAACTTTTTTTTTTGATAGAATAAAGCCTCGTTAAACCCCCCTTCATATCCTACATGTTACAAACATAACATGAAGGACATTGGAAGGAGGAAAAGAGCGCCTCTAACTTTTATTAATGAGAACAATAATACACCTCAACACTAACAACTCCTTACATAACAAATACCATAATACTGTAAACATAACACACCCTAATACTCCCTTAATAAGAATAACCAAGGCCTAACACTTTAAGCATTACACAAACCTAAAAATCAACCTATACCAGCTTTAGCTAATTCATCCGCTTCCTAATTTGCTGCTCTCGAAATATGCCTCATGATAATACCCTTCCTCTCCACAATGGTAGCTATATCCCTTACCAAGGATTGAAACAAAGTAGTACTAAGGTTCGGATTATTAATCCACTTCAGAGCATTAGAAGAATCCGATTCCAAAATGAACCTCTGACTTGGAAAGTAATCAACTTCATCAATAAGAATCAACCCTCTATTAATCGCCAATAGCTCAGCGAGTAAAGGAGGACCTCCCCCTACCTTCTCTGAAAACGGCCCAAGCACCAAACCACTGTCGTCCCTAATCAAGCCACCTATTCCACCCTTATCCCAACCTTTGACATCGCACAATCTACATTTACTTTTAAGAACCCTTCCGGAGGAGGACTCCACCTAGAAGAAGGAAGAGACCTCATTTTCAGATTGCCATGCTGATCCGCTAATTTTAAATCCCCCATCAAAGAATCAAAATGAATATGAACATCCTTAAAAGAAGTATCAAACCAAGAAACAATTCTGAATCGTGTAATGAAGAACAACAACGTAGAATCTACCTTCCCATTCTGAAAAATCACCTCATTCCTACATTTCCAAACAGACCACAACATTGCTCTTGGAATAAATTTCCATATGTGGGATCCCGGAACTAGGTCATCCCATGCAATTAAGAAATCCATCAACTTACCCGGAATCACAAAGAAAATATTCCATAACTTTAAAAATTTAGCCCACAAATCCCATACCACATCACAGTGCATAAACAAATGTGAGTCCGACTCATTGCACTTCTTCCACAATGGGCAGATAGTGTCTTCAACCCCTGTAACTCCTCTCTTCAGCAGTTCCTCTTTCACCGCAACTCTATCATGAGCAAGTTGCCAAACAAAATATTCCACTCGAGGTGGAGCTACTCCTTTCCAAACATACCTTTCCCAATTACCTTCTAAATCATCATTACCCTCTCTATCAAAATAAATTTTCATGCATGATTGTGCAGTAAAATAGCCCTCTCCATTTCCCAACCAAATCCAACAATCTTCCTCTAATAGAGACAGTGAAGAGCTATTCAACAGAGAGATAATTTGCAGCCACTGCTCAACCTCCCAATCCACCAAATTCCTTCTTGTTTGAATATCCCAAACCCAACCCGAATCATTATACAATCTGAATTCTGCAACCTTACCCTCTTTGTTATTCGAAAGAGCAAATAACCTTGGAAACCTATCTTTCAAAGAAACTGAACCCAACCATACATCATGCCAAAACTACACTGTTTCTCCATTTCCAGCTCTAACACAATTTTTTTCTAAAACAGTCCCCAAAAGCATCACTTGAAAAGAAGTTCTTAACAACTCCTCTCCAAATCCACGAAGAACGAGCTGTCCAAGTATTCCGGATCATCATTGAATTAGGATCCATATTGTAAACGCAACACACAACCGATTTCTACCAAGATTTTTTCTCTGCAGCAAATTTCCACACCCATTTCCCCATAAGAGCCCTGTTTAATAGCAACAGATTCGGAATCCCTAAACCCCCAACTTCTTTGGCTTACACACCAATTCCCATTTGACCCAATGAATGTTCTTTTTTTCTGATGATCCCCCCCATAAAAACGATGCCATGATAGAGTTTAGCTTATTGAGTACAATAATAGGGATCCGAAAGATAGGTAGTAAATTGGAAGAGAGCACAACACCGATTTGACCAATACTGCCCTTCCAGCCAGAGATAAAGTCTTAGCCTTCCAACCAGCCAAACTATTATAAAATTTTTGTACAACTGATTCCCACAGAGAAAAAGAATTCCTCTTGGCCCCCAACGGTAGGCCTAAGTACTCCAATGGAAAATCTCCCCTTGCACACCCTAATTCTGTGGCCCATGAAGCTAACTCCTCCCCACATTAATTCCAAAAATTCTGCTCTTAGTTACTTCAATTGATTTTTAGACTTGGAATATATTTTGACGATGTAATAAGAAAAAAGGAAATATGTATAGTTTACTGGTTAGACCATGTGTTGGACCAAAAGATGCTTAGGAATATCTTTTGCATTTGTTTTCAGGAAAGAGTTGCTGATCATTCGGCAAAGCCTACTCATTTTGCAGCTCAACCTAATCTTACTCCTTATGCACCCCCAATGATTCCTATGGGCTACGATGATGGCATTCCATACAGAGGTTAGATTTTATCAGTGAATATTTTTTTTGAAGTTGTTCCTCGGAGCTCGGGGTTCAGAGATGTACTCTGTTGCTTCTTACATGCAAGTTTTACTTCCTTAAAAATACTATCATATAGCCTGCATTTTAGATTATGTTTACTGAAATATGTTGTTTTCTGTTTAGTCAAGATATATTTAGTATTATATTTGAAGTTTTATATACGTCATCTTGAGGCATATAAACTGAGTTTCAGTGTTTCATGTTCTATTGCCTCACTAGTTGCATTGGAGTTTTGGTTTTTCCTTCAGATGTTTGGGTTTCTGATTTTCTTAATCCCCACTATGCATACTGTTCTTAAAGCTGAAAATAAAAGTTGGTAGCTTGAACTGTCTGAAAAAGCTGCTGAACGTTTTTTGGCAAAAGATGCTGGTGTTTTGAAGAATTCGGACAGTTGGGGGTGAAGCATTATTCCTGTGGTGCTTTAGTTGGCATGACCCTCTGATACACATTTTATGGTAAACTTAAATAAACTTCCAATTTCTAATACAGAAAAGAAAGTGAGAGAAGTGAAGAAAATTTGATCTTCTCTCCATATATACATTTTTTACTTGTGCCAAGGTGTGTGAATTCTTGTTAGAATTCAAGTAACAAAAGAAAAGGGTTTCAAGACATGGTTAAAAATAGTTTAAAGGAGTAGTAGCCGCGATTATTCATTGAATTTATTTTCTCTTTTTGATTGCTGCAACAAATGATGCTTCAATTTATATTTATTTATGGTACCCGAAATTACTAATCATGAAAACCTTATATGTCTTTTATGATATTATTGGAGATTTAAACTGAAAGCATCGTTATGCTATTTCACAGCCATCAGTGGGGTGACGGGAGAACTTCTGGAGCAGAATGCTCAAGCCTTAAATCAAATATCAGCAAATCTTGCAGCTTTTCAGGTGGAATACCAATGTTATGGATAGATCTTTATGTCATCCTTCTATTTTCTTTTTGTTTTCATTCCAGGTTTAATGCTTCCATGTAAACATGTATTCGCAAATGACTAGTACCAGGTCCCTTAACCCTACCTTCCCAATAGCACTTGTGAACGGTCATGCGGATATACCGAAAGATCTGATGTTGCTTCAGCTTTATGGATCTCTCACAAAACTTGTTCTCGTTTATCTGTTTCCAGATACAGGAAAATATTGGTCTCCTCTGCCAAACTCGTGACAACATTATGAAAATCATGAACGAGTAAGTTCCAGTTTTTGTTAAACTGCTCCTTAATACTAGATATTATTTGCTTTCCCGGTCATATGCTGTGCCAGATGGTACTAAAGACTCAATCTTATGAATTTGCTCAATTAAAATGTAATAAAGTTTACTGAAATGTTGTTAAGAAATTTCTTCTGCAATGTGCTTTATCAAGGCCATTCCTCAGATCCGAGATACTAATGTACTTGCAGTAATCCTGTTATCATTGACATTCTAAATAATCCCGAAGCTTTTAATGAACCCAGATTCCTTTTCCCTTTTATTCTGTGTCTATTTTTGGTAGAACATTGTGTATAATCTAGTAATTTTGGTACTTCATAGAATCGATATTTATGCCGTTACATATGAGGTTGCAATCTGGGAAAAAGGAAAAGGGTTGCTGATACGGGAACTCGAATCTCAGAGTTGCATGATGTCACCTCTTAAGGTGGCTCATGAACCAATTGGATTAAATCCGGTGTTCAACATATATGTATCTTCGATCAATTACGAATTTGTTATCGAATGAACTCCGGTTATTTCTATTATTGGATGTTAGGCGTTTCTTGATTTTTTGCAGGTTGAATGACATGCCGGATATAATGAAGCAGATGCAAGCACTTCCGGTGAAACTGAACGAAGAGCTAGCTAACATCGTCCTCCCCCCTTCATCCCATCCTATGCATTCGTGATCCTCTGCCTCCTGCATAGTTTCCGATAACTGAGCGGTGGATCGTGCTTTTGCTGATGTAGAAAATAACCGCGGATAAGGTGATCACTCACCTTTCTTTACCATTTGAGAACAAGTTCTCTTCCCCTTTCTTGCGTGTAGAAGGCACAGTGTTTTCTTGGTTTCTTTATTCCATAGTTTGTTCGTTAGTTCATGCGTTGGGGATATTTATTTTACAGAATGAAATCAAGAGTTGAAATTATTTTATTTTAATTCCCTGTTTGTGTATAGTTTTCTTTTTTGACATATTTGTGTATAGTTTTCTAAAAAATTGACAAATTTATTTGTTTTATTAGTCACTTTCATGAACATTCAACAAATGCATTGTTTATAATTAATAACATTTATGTTTTGTTTCCTACATCTTCAAAATAAATATAATTAGATCCATTGATTCATTTAGCTGGATGGACCTATTAGTCGAACTATTGTTAATTTTTTAGCGGTTTGAATTTTATCTTTATGAATGGAATAAATTGAATTAAGAGTAGTTCTTATAATAGATTTTGAAGTGTTTTAAAGTCTTTTTAATTAGATAAATTTATCTAAATGTAATAGAAATATAAAACAAAAATTGAAATATTATTATCCTAGAGTCTAGACCAGTACATGTGAAAAGAATGTATTTATAATATATAGATTTCTTGTACCAAAAAATTCAAATAATAAAAATTTATGTTGGTTGAGTATAATTAATAAACAAGCAAGCAAGCAGAGGTGGATATTCCACAATTAATATTTACAAAATCAATCTATAAATATTATATAAGTAATAGAAAGCATGACATGACACGAAACAAAGAAATAACACATTTTATGTATTAGAAATTAATATATATATATATATAAACACTGTTATATTATAATACGAAAAATATGAAAATAAACGAATTTTCATCCTTACTTACCCTATCGATTAAGAAGAGTAATTTATAACGACCCTGATATTCATGTAGTTTATATGTATAATACAGCCTATAGGAAGGACAGAGCTCCTACGCCATTTAAAAAAAATAGGATAAACTACATATTTAGTATATCAACTATGACTTTTTGTTTTGTTTTGATCACTCTACTATTTTTTTAAATCATATTTAATGTTACGTTTTAATTTTAGTTTGGTCGACAACCGTTAAAAAATTAACAAAACTGTTGAAATGACATTGTTTTTATTTTTTTTCAAAGATAATGTGGTATTACTTTATGGTAACAAATCAACATCACTGTTAAATTTTTTAATGGAGTCTGACTAAAATGAAATCAAAACTAAACGTTAAGTACATTTTGAAAAGAAAAATAGTTGATAACCAAAATTGATTGCCGAAGTACTAAACTTCGTAGTTACCCTAAAAAAGTAACTTTGGTAACAGAAACGTCTCTCCTGACATGTAACAACAACAAAATCCTATTTCCATATGTAATGGGATAAGGAGGAGATAAGGTAGTAGGCTGCCCTCAACGCCAGGTTGATAGTAGCTTCGTTCCTAGCGGCTCAATCTTCATTGTTAACGAGTGGATGGTCATGGTTGTGATGTGAGTAGGCTACTTTGAATCATACTCTGCTAGTTTCGATCCCTAAGGTGGAATACCCAGACCTAATTACCCTGTTTCGTCCAATTCCTTTATAAAATTTTGACTAAGGTGGTTGTCAATCTTCTAAAATCTTTTATATCACTGGGTATCTGCTAATCTAAATATAGTTTGCGTACAAATTATTTTTTTACTAATAATATATTAAATAATATTTTATTTCTTAATCTCTAAATCAAAACATATATATAATTTTTTAACAGAAAATATATATTTAAACCTACCTAAATCCATATTTTTTTTTAATATTACCATTAGAATTATTAATCTTTAATATCAATACTATGATTGCGTTTGATATAACATGTAAAGTGGGAATTATTGTCAATGTTTTTTCTTAAAATATAACCAAAACCATATCAAATGCTTCTTTAGATTTATAAAAACTTAAAAATAAACGATATCATTTAAATTCTATTTGTGAATTTTTTATCAATAGTATATATAATATAGGATAAAGTACATAAATGGTCCCCCAACTATATAGGATAAAGTACATAAATGGTCCCCCAACTATAGTGCATTGATTTCTTAAGTCCCTTAACTATTAAAAGTTACAGAATGATCACCCGACTATTTATATGTTTCAAGCTCGTCCTTTTCGGTAAAAAATTGATGGTCATCTAAGTAGGACTTGAACATATTGATTGATATATGATAGTCGTTTGAGATTCTGAGATCATATTTTAGCATATCTCTGCTAGCATGTTAACATCAAATTCAGACTACTGTCAATTTTTTAACAAAAAAAGATAAGTTTTGGAATATATGAATATCGTGTGGTCATTTTGCAACTTGTAATAGTCAGGGACTTAACAAAGCAATGTCATATAGTCATAGGACCATTTTATAATTTTTAATAGCTAGGGAACCCAACAAAGTAACATCCTATAGTCGGGGGACCATTTATGTACTTTACCCTTTAATATAAGCCATCGTTTTAGATTCACAGTGTGACTTTCTTGGTTGCACCCCCAACGTTTTTTCAAAAAGGAAAATCGCGGACAAATGAGCATCATCTGGACGGAAAGATAACCATTTTGACCAACACAACTTGCTTCTTTCTTGAAGACGAAAGGAAATAGTTTTGGTTAAAATCAATTCCATAAATATTTGGTTAAGCCGAGGAGTAGTTGTTTCAGTAATAAACAAATTAACCTCAAACTTGATGCTGTTTTCGGTTCAGTTTTTGAATATTACAGAAACATGGATGACTTCATTTTAAAAGAGTCTATGCTTCTACATCACTTACTCTGAATTAATTCCCAGTCTGTGTCAAACCAAAAGATTGAATTTTGAGGCTGCCATTTATTGTGTTGAAGAGAGGTTTGAAGACTGATACTGTAAGTAGTTTCATTTAAACCATTTCCTGTCTTCTTCTTATTATGTTGCTTCTCTCTTATCTTATAACTTTGTTCTTCGGTTGATGTTTCCAACATATCTTGTAAACCAATCTTCAGTTCTCTGATTCTTGTAATAAAATTGGTTTTTTTGCTTGCTTGAGTGGTAATTGGTTTTACAAAAGTTATGTGAACACATAACATAAAAAATCCAATCTTTGCACTTAGACAAGATGCCTTTTTGGCTTTGCTTTTGCCAACTGAATTTACTCCAAAAGCTCAAAGCTTGGTGTGTCACAATCTTCTTCTTCTTCTTTCATATCTTGGAATTTGATTTTGGCATTAAATGTTAGAATTCACAACGGGGTTCAGATTGGTGCTGTTCATGCTGCTCATTGTAGCCTTTAATTTCATACCGCTCATTGTAGCCTTTAATTTCATACCAACTGCTTCTTCACCAGGTCAGCTCTGTTCTATGACAGGTTTATATTTCGCAACTTAATTTCTTTTATAAAAACTATTTTTTTACAAGAAATTGGTTCCATAATGTTATCAAACTGATAAGTCCGTAATTTTTTTTTTTAATTAGATAGAAATTCAAGCAATGAAGATGATACGGTGAGGGTGGATCCATTGGAGAAATTCAACAAGTATAAAGGAGGATTTGACATCACTAACGACCATTATTGGACTGTAATTCTCTTATCTCTTACAATCTCACATTAATCTAATCACTTTCTCTTTTTCAAATTTTATTTGCATATAACAATTTAATATTTTTGATATCGTTAATCAAAATTCAGTTTAATTCAAGGGTAAAGCATACAAATAGTTCCCGACTATTAAAAGTTACAAAATTGTCACCTGATTATTAATATGTTCCAAACTCATCTTTTTTCGTTAAAAAAGTGATGGTGGTCTGAGTTGGACGTTAACTTGTTGACTGAGATATGATAAAATATAATCTCATAATCGTTTGAGTTGTATTTTGTGGATTGACTATTCGATTACATTACGGTGTCAAGTCAATGCTTGAAACATTATGTAGTCGAGTCAGTACTTTAAAGCAACAACAGTGCCAATAGACATCACTAAAATATGATTTTATCATATCCTAGTCAACATGTTAATGTCCAGCTTAGACGGTCGTCAAGTTTTTAACGAAAATGGACAGACTTGGAACATATGAATAGTCGGATGATTATTTTGTAACTTTTAATTATCGGAGGACTCAACAAAACATCACCCTATAGATGAGAGATCATTTTGCAATTTTTAATAGTTGAAGGACTCAACAAAACAATACCCTATAGTAGAAGTACTATTTGTGTACTTTACCCTTAATTCAATTCACCCATAAAATGTCAAATTAAACTCACTCTTAAACAATATTAATTTAAAATGACATGAATAAATAACTCTAAATGAATTAAATTTAAAAGGATTTAAATAAATAGTCTAAAATGTCTCAAACATGAAATCATCCGAATTAAAAAAATAAATTCATAATAACTTGACTTAGTTTAAAAATACTTTTACTTGACCCAAATTAAATCCAAAATTTTATTTGAAAATCTAACTCTAATCTAGTCCGAATTGATATAATTTTTATTTTCTCATGTACATTTTTGTTAAAATAAAAAATATCAAATAAAATACTAATTTCTTTATTTTAATAAAATAAAATTAAAGTAAAATGTAATATAATATTATAATTCTAGTAACTTATATATTAATTTTAAGTATGTTTTTATTAAAATCTAACTAATAATATATACATAAATAAAAATGATATTTTAATAATTATCTTGGGTCGGAACAAATTCTTACGTAAGTTCCATTAATTATTTTATTTTTGCAGTCGGTTGTATTTACAGGGATCTATGGGTACGCAATTGCGTTCTCTTGGCTTTTATGTGGAATTTTGTACGGAATATATCTCCTGGTAACTGCTTACTGTTGCAGAAGAAGCAGAAAACCCAACAAAAAATGGGTCTGCCACAAGCAATGTTACTTATGGCCTATTCTCCAGGCTATCATCTTCACAATCCTGGCACTGTAACTTCTTCAAACTCTCAATTTTAATTGTTTCGATTCAATAATATCATGTTCTTTTAGCTTCAAAGATCGAAACCAATTCTGTGGTGGACATTATCATGACAACAGTAAATGGGGCATCACAAACTATATATCACACTACGGCAGCCATGAAACAGATGAGGGATAGCTTGGGAGACACTAGTGGAACTGTTCAGGCTTCTCGATTTCTTACGGATACGTCTCGAAGATTGGATGTTGAAGCCGGCGATATCGCGAGGCAGGCGAGAGAAAACAGACGGTTGATCGATAGGGGTCTCGAGATTGTGTAAATCTCTCTCAAGCTCCCCCGATATCGTTGTGTTGATGCTACTCAGACTCGGATGTAAGTGCCATGCATACTGGTTATGTATGTGTATCTATTTGATCTTACAGGTTTATAGTAACCACGGTGACTATTTCCTTGAACCTGGTAGCTGTTATTGCTTTGTCAGGTATGTTTATGCAACTTTTCATTATCATGAAGTTTGGATTGAATAAGTTTGAATATGGAAAAAGATTGAACTACTAGTTGATTGCCATTGTTCTTATCTTTTTCCTACTACAGTGACTGGAATTCTGAGAATTCGACAAGCACTTTACTGGTAAGAAACTCGAGATTTTTATGATTGTGAATTACTAATTAAAGGTGTGAAAATTTAGCTGAAGGTTTTCATTTCCCCCCCAAATCTTTTCAGGCTAATTGGGATATGTTGGATCATGACCTTTCTATGCTGGTTGTTCTTTGGAATTTATTTCTTCTTGGAAAAGCAAGTGCAAGCTTTTTATATTTATCTGGTTTCCATTTGTGATTTATTTCCAGGTTTGATTGAATTGAAAAACTGAAAAACAAATGCTTTAATTCTCCAGGTTTTCAGGTGACACATGCAGAGCTCTTGAAAACTTCCAAGAAAATCCATACAACAATACTTTGAGTTCAATCCTCTCTTGTGATGAATTGCTGTCAGCAGAATCAGTCCTCTCTGATGTTAGTGCTGGGATATACAACCTTGTTAATGAGGTAATTATATCTCATTTGTTGCTTTAGTTCATATGTTTAATCGAAACAGAGTATTTTGCTCGGAGGTCAAAATTCAAACTCGATATTAACTTGCAACAAGAAACTCGTTAAACAGTTTGATTAGCTTATGGTTTTGATTCTTCAGGTGAACTCGAACATTTCACAGCTGCAAGCAACATATCCAAATCTTGCTCATGTCTGCAACCCTTTCTCTGCACTACCAGACTATACATATCAGACAAATAACTGCACAGCTAATACGATCAGGATCGGCAACATACCAAAGGTATGCAATTGATAATTCGGTTTAAGGTTCTGTTATGTTGTTCTTAAACATTACTCCTACCCGAATCTTTTTGAGTTCGATACATCAGTTAATTCCAACACTGTTGGTTAAATATCGGATATAGGTGCTTAATTGGCTGATCTCTTTGTAGATATTGGAAGTATTTACTTGTTGGGATGCCAACAATGAAACCCGTCAAGAGGGGCAATTCATATCCAGCAATGATTTCAAAAAAGTGGAGGCTTACGCAAGTTCAATTGAAAACCTGCTAAACGTTTATCCAGGCATGGAAAATCTAGTCCAATGCCAGTCCGTGAAGGATGCATTTTCCAAGATCATTGGCCGACACAGCAAACCTTGGAAGCGATCCGCTTGCATGGCATGGGCGGCAATGGTTCTTCTCTTGATCGTCATGGTAATATTGGTTCTTGTATGGGCAGCGTAAGCTCGCCATGATCAGGACCTTCATTCTTCAGACATTTCGTCCAAAACAACAGATTCATTGGAATTACAAGCAAATAATGAAGTGATACCTGATTCAATTTAGATGCAAAAATACTGCAGATCTCAAGATTGTTACTTTGGAAGACAAGGCAGCCAAGCAGCTTCCAGACAATACTAGTTTTGTACAGGGTAGAGATATATAAGATTAACTAAATTTGAAACAAAGATAGAGATAATTGTCTGAAATAGACAGAGATAAAGGATCTACAAGGGCCATTTTTTTGGTCTGAATAGAAGTTTAAATTTTGTAATAGATTTACAAGAAATACAAGATTTTTTCTTTGTACTTCCAGATCTGGGGATCAACCCCATAATACAATGTAATATGTAGTTGTTGAAGAATAAAAGGAAAATTTGTTCATCTACATTTTGGTTTATGTTACAAGGATTTTGTTTTTGAGGAGAGCATCGAATATGAATACTAATCCAGGAAAGAGGGAAGTGATACCTGAAGACTGACCTTTAAGTTGTACCTGTTAAACTGCTTTAGCTTACTCTAATGCTGAGCAATCCTTAGGCCGGTCCTCACCGATATCCCTCTGGCTTGCAACTGGGGACAATCTATAATTTGCAAATCTTTCAACAATGGAAGTAATAGTTAAACAAATCCTTTAAATCCACTTATTTTCATGTCTTAAACGAAAATCAGGAGAAAAAAGACACCCCTGTCGTCATTTAAAGGCATCACATCTACAGAGCTAGATGTATGCATGCTGTTATAGATAGATATCAATAAAAATTCCAGACAGCATAACTTCCATTCATAAGCAACATTTCAGAAATCAGAACTGGTCTGAAAATTTTCCATTTGCTAAGATGAATATCTGATTTAAGTATACCGCACATAAACCAAAAATAGATATTATTCATATAATAAGTTTGTCAAAATATAATAACAAATCTGGTATTGGGAACTGTATTATATGACAAAACGATGTATAAATCGAAACAACTGATGAAAACCATAAAAAGAACCAGTGACAACAAAATTCAAACAACTTAAAAGGTCAAGTCGAGGGCATTCAACTACAACCAGCTGTGAAATCTGCCAAAAGTGCTATGCAACCATTGATCCCTTTTTTTCAAGGTGATAAGACCCTAAAGACCCAGAGGAGATAAACAAATTGTCAGTTCATCATAAAAGGATTAATATTTTTAAGGAAAAAAAAATCAAGTTATGCTAATGAAACCATGCTCACCTAAAGGTTTGAAATAGATCTAGCAACAGTTTTGAAGCTTTTTCCCAGTGATGTTCATTGCAAAAACATGGCAAGTGCCGTTTCGATTTGTTTATTCTAATTTATATGTGTAAATTGTGGATGATTGGTCATTTTTGAGATGCGGATGCACTCTCACCCAAAGATGAACCTAATCGAAGCATAAGAGGATATACAGGACTGAACTCCTTGTCTCCTCTAGCCCTAACCTTTGAGCATAATCATCCAGAGTTACCTTGATTCCTTTCCAGATCTGATCTTCCCCTTGAGAATCCAGCCACAACGAATATTGCAAATGTGTAAGCTTGTTCCTCTGGAGTGGTGATTGCAAGTCCTCAGGGCCTCGAGAATAGAGATGATGCAGTATGACACTCGGGGGTAAATCTTGAAGAGGAGATGCTCCTAGTTGAGAAGTTTCCAAGAAGATTAATGGTCGGAATGCTCGAAGAGCTCGGTATGGTACACCTAGTTGTTCAACTGGGAATAAATTTTGGCCCACAGCTAATTCCAACTCAGCCATGTCCCTCGCCATTCTCAGCTTCCCTGATTCTGAAAGGGGTCTGACAAGAGAAGCATGCCTTATAAAGAGAATCAAAACCCTTGAAGCCATGCTCCTCACAAGCCTCGTGCATATGGTTTCTGTTCCTGCAGTTATAGCATTGGCTGAAGATGGCAACAACCTAGATAGGAACTCACTACGAATGCGAAGGATGCACTTTTGTAACTCCTCCATGTAAGGTGAAGCATTGTTGTCCATAGCAGCATCCATGCCAAGTGCAGAAAAGTTCTGGTCATGGATTTGCAAGATGCAAGATTCAAGACGATCAATCATTGCCTGGAACAAGGATGTTATCGAATCGCATGCAACACCATATATTGCACCAAGTGAAGGTGACAACACATCTGCAGCAATAGTTGGAAGCCCTATGATCATAGAAGTTACGCGTGTATGAATTTCTTGTAGATGCTGACATAATGCAAAGTTCTTGAGCTGAGCTGCAGTAGCAGGACCAGATACTTGGCGGGCTTCAGGACCAGTAGATATCTGCCAGTTTAACAAAGTTGAATACACTTAGTATTTCATATATATGTGTTTGTGAGTGTTTTGTATATGAAAATTATGTACTTTATTGCACACACACAATTGTATTAATGGATATACACCTATAAGATTTGGCAAGATTTTTTCAGGGTTTTGACTTTTGAGAAAAGGAAACCTCCAGAAAATCAACAATGAGTTTAAACTGATCACTTATAACTATATCAAGTCCATGATAAGATCAAATACAGCATCAAAGAATGCCATAGGCTTAAAATGTAGTTACCTAACGCTTGGGATATATGCCTAAAAAAATTATCACACAAAGCAATGCATTTTATACTCGTAAGATAAAAAAAGGGGGCATACAGTCAGAAAAGCTGAAATATGGTCAGGGTAATTGTTTCAACCAGTTGCCTCACCAGATGGATCATTATAGAATTGCATAAAACTTCTAGTGAAATGTGTTTATTTGATGATATGAAATTTAGATGTTACCCTAGTTAGTTATGAATTACAAAATGATGTTATAAAAAACATGCAATATAATCACACTACGACCCGATTTCCCAAATATACCAAAAACTTACAATGACAAGGCGGGGACAAAATACTAACAAGTTTTCAGTCATAAACTCACATAAACAAGCCATAGCAGATTAGGAAAGGCAATCAAGGATATAATGTACTTGGCGTATTAATGTATAATTCTGCACATAGTAGAAATTCTACTCGGTAAGAAAATAACAGATTTAACACAGGAAAAACAAAATACCAGATATTCAGCTCGTTCTGCAATCAGCAGCAAAATTTTACTAATTTCACGCAGCACAAGAAGAGTCAATCGAGCATCTAATTGAACAGCTTCAATTTCTTCCTGAATGCGAGAAAGAATTCTAGAGACCTGTTCTTTGGAGGGAACACTACCACGGCTGGAGACTGGAAAAACAGAATTAACAATATCGGACAGACGGCTTAGGCAGCCAGCCAAGAAAGCCATCTGGAAAGTTTCAATAGCTGCAACCATTTGGGCTTTTCCCTCTGAAGGTATAGCTGGTAACACCCCCTTGACATCAGTGTCACGTGAAATTCCTTCAAGAAGGTTTTCCATCATAGAGAAGAGTTTCGGATACCCATTTGTGAATATCTCTTTGACAAAACTTGATGCTGTAAAAGCAGACTTCATTTGGGTAGCAAAAGCCTTAACCAGAGCTTCCCACACTCTATCTGTTAGCTTGGGATCGTCCTCCTGCACCAAGCAGCATAAATAATTACAGTCAAGCTGGAAAACAGCAGTTTCATATTATGACATTTCCTATGTTGTTATGACTCTTCATTTTTCTCGAAGTAGTGATAAACGTAGAGATATAAACATGGACAAAAATAGAAAAAAAACAGAGCATAGGGACTCATGCTCGTATCTAAAACTAAACTAGACTAATTCAATTATGAATAGAATTACCATAACAGAAAGAAAATGAAAATAAATAGAAACGGGGTTACCTTAATGACTTCATCAAGCAGTAAGACATGCGAAAAAGGGTCTCTCTTCTTCGACAAAACCCTCTGCAAATGCCAAATTGCAACCATTATAGAATGCAACTGATCCATACAACTCCCCATCCGCTGCCACAACGCCTCTCTTGCCCTCCCACTTCCTCCAATCTGTGGCGTTCCGCTCCCCCTAATACCTCCAGGACCAAATCCGCTACCACCACCAGCTGAAATAGCCTTCATATCCAACGCCACACTCACACTCTTCACACCCATCCCCTTGTATTTATTCACCAACTGCTCCACCGTCCCTCTCAATCCCCAAGATTGTAAAACACTTGCAACCCAGTCCCCACTTCAGCCTGATTCAACCCTTCCATTCCCTTCTCCAAAACTTTCATTGCTTCACTTCTTAACTTGCTCCCTATCTCTTTCACCGCATTGATTTCCTCGTCGACCATATCAATACCGCCAAGATCATATTCCTCGCACAAAGTCAAGATATCATTATGCAACTGAGCAGCCTTGGCAAGATCCAACTTATCAGGCTCTGCTTCAGCGGAAGCCATAAGGTCTCGTAGCTTTTTGGAAAGACGAATAGCACGTATGGAGTGGGAGAGAAGCTCGGAAGTTCTATGTAAATTCGAGAGCTGGACCGTTTTGGAGAGAATCGAATTATGGGGTTCGGAGAGCTCGGATCGGACACGACGAACAGAAGATTGAAGCGAAGAGATGGAAGATCTAAGAGTAGAGAGGGAGACCTCAGCGTTGTTAAGGGAAGATAACTGAGTGAGGAGGAGAGGGTGGTTAGAGAGGACGTGAGAACGGATTTGGGAATCGAGTTGGCGGATGGCTTGGAGGAGATGTTCGGCGGTTGATGCAGGGGATCCGGACGAAAGAGCGGCGGAGGAGAAGGAGGTGGAAGAAAAAGAAGGGGAGAGGAAAGGGGAGAGGATTGGGTCTTTGGCGAAAGAGTCAAGAATGGAGGAAGGTGGCGGAGGAGGAGCATGAGTAGAAGCGGGAGGGTTTTTGAAAGTGGAGAGACGGTGGAGAGGGGAGGAGGAGGTGGTGGTAGTGGGGGATCTTTGGATGGTGGCCGGAGAAACCATTTCTTTGGGGGGATTTTTGCAAATCAAAATTGAATAAAAATTCCTTCAGATCTATCAAGAAAATTTAGGAAGAGATTGCAGGAAAATGCAGAATCAGCACATAACAGACCGTTGGCAATAATAAAGAGCCTATGATCAGACGGCGAGAGATCAACTCAAAAAGTAGAATTTTTTTTTACTAATTCAACACTCATATTTTATAAATTCAGTTTGATTTAAAAAAAATTAAATTCAAGTTAAATTATAAAATATAACTTAAAATTTTAATAATTAGTGATTAATTTTTAAGTTTAAATCATGTCACTCAACTTTAAATAGTATATATATATATATTACATATAAAAAAATATTAATATATATATGATTATAAAAGATTGTTTAAGTTAGAATCAAATAATAACAAAATATTATAAATGTTTATAATTAAATTAAATAGAAATTCGAATAATTTGACCCAACTTAAAAATATTTCCAATAAAATTT